GAGTCCAGGCAAGCAAGCAGCTGGCGGAAGAGACTGGCTACAGAGCGGACTTCGAGCCGCTTTGGGCTGTTTTCTTAATGGCATTTTTGTGCTTTTTGTGGACCGACTTGTTTTCGGAGTGGCATTGAATGGGGTGGGTGTTTCCTGTACGTGGTGCAGAAAACCGAGCATGGCTGCCAGCTTGTAGGTGAATAAGCTGGCAGCAGCCCTACCCAACAAGAGCTCTGGCACCAGATCTGATCTGATCTGACGAGCGCTTGTCACACCGCTGGCCGGGTGTGGGGCAGCATCACGAGGGGCATTTTTGCTTCGGAATAGCGCGCGATTCGCGCGCCACCGAATTTGCGAAATGCAGGGCGCTTGAGGCCAACCCACTTGGTGCCAAGTGGATGACAGTGAGACGATGGGCTATGTGCTCACTGGGCGCTCGAAAGGATGGGCTGACAGCCCAGTCTCGTTTTCGTGCATGCAGGGAAGGCCATCCAAGGCATCATTGGATGTTTGACAACATGTTATGACGCAACCACGAGCACAGCTTACAGATCTTACAAGATAGAGTAGGACCACAGAACCAACCATTCGTACCGCAGGTCACAGGACGTCACGAAATGGTTCCCCAGACATCGACCCTTAAGGCACCCACTACTAGTACTACCACTACCACTAGTACTACCAGTAGTACTACCACCACTACGACTACTACCACTACTACCACTAGCACCACTACTACTACCACCACTACCACCACCACTATTACTACTGCTACTGCTACTGCTACTTCTTGCTGGTACTGCTACTGGTACTACTGCTGCTACTGCTACTGCTACTATCTTCATACTATCTTCATACTACAATCATCTACTAACTATACTCCTACGACTACCACTACCACTAGCGCTACCAGCTACTATTACTACTACTACTACCACTACTACCGCTACTACTACTACTACTGCTACTACTACTACTACTACTAGTCCCACGACGACTACTACCTACTACTACTACTACTACTACTACTACCACTACGGTTTCTTTGTTTCTTCTTCTTTCTACTACTGTCCACATACTATCTATCTATTTGTCTATCTACCTATTTAGCTTTCTATCTGTCTATCCTTCTATCTATCAATCTATCTTTCTATCTGTCTATCTATCTAACTATCTATCTATCGTTTCTTTATTTGGTTGTCGATTTAAAGGTCCTAGACAGCATTGTGTATGACGATGACCCGGAACATATCAAAATCTCATTTGGCGAAAGTTTTTTCTCGAGTTGGCGAAAGTAATTTTTTTTTGCGAAAGATCTGGCGAAAGATCAAATATGTACTTTTGTATGAATGTTCATTTGCTTCCTGAACAGCTGGTGGCAGTGACTCAGAAGTTAGATGAGCTGTGGAAGTTAGATAACCTGCTGCTGCTGCGGCTACTACTACTTCTACTACTACGACTACTACTACTACTACTACTACTACTACTACTACTACTACTACTAC